GCATGACGAAAACATCGTCACTCTCTGGAAAGTGCTTGCCATCAGTGATACGTCGTTAGTTGTCCCATGATTGATGAACATCAAGCATTTCAAACGGATAGTGTGGTCACTCGCTCGTTGAACGCATTGTTGTTCTTTGGCCGAGGAGAAAATGAGTTACTCGTTGCTCGCGTGATCAACACATTTTCACTCTCTGGAAGATGCTTACCATTAGTGTTACCTCGTCAGTTGTCCCATGATCGACGAACATCAAGCATTTCAAACTGATGGTGTGGTCGCTCGCTCGTTGAACGCATTGTTGTTCTTTGGAAGGTGTTGGCCTTCCCGCTTAGCTTTCAAGTTACGGAAATCACTTCCAACACGACGGTTATGAGTCGCCCGGCTTGACCGTTATATTTACAGAAAATTCATGCATTGTCGCTGATCGGTTAACACGTGGTTGTTTTTAGGACGGTGCTCACGTTCATGTTTAGTTTCGCCATTGTGGTCCGTATTTCCAACATGGCAGTTGAAATCCATTTGGCTTGTTCGTCAGCGTTTGCTCCACTTGCCTTTGAAGTCTGAGCTTCAGTGATATGAGAATCATTTCCCGATCACGAACTGGTGTAGGAACATTAGAAACACGTCTTTCCGGTATAAGGCCAAATATTATAATGTGATGGTCGATAACAAAATTATGCCGATGCTTGTGATTATGGACTATATATCGCTATATATGTCATTCTCATTTGTTCACCAGTTCTCTGATGACAATTGATCAAGTACCACGTCACCAGTCCGCAAATTGTCGCCCATAGTGTCCCAGCCTCTTCGGTCCTTGTCAACCTACGAGCACGTGAATTCATACAACATTGGCTGATATATTTGGGATACAATCTGAATTTTTGTATTTGATTCTATCAAGGTTATGTGTGCAGTACAGGGCTGATCCTACTCTGTATGTATCTCGTGTCACATTCTAATTGTGCTTACGAACTGCGATGTCTGTAGATACTCGCGAGCATTATTAACGACGTTTCAAAAGTGCTCAAGTATGCCGAACGGTTGTGTTGAGTCATGCCCTGCCCCGGTGCCCTTCGCTCGTTAACATCTACGCAGGACACCATCGAATTCTGACACGTTGTACCTCAAGCACCGCCCCGGATGTACACAACTATACGAAAGCTCTGCATGCCGTATGCTCCCATGATGAAGAAACCAATATTGCTGATGTTGTATTCTTTTTCAGGACTGTACGATTCTTATGTCTTGAGGGTGGCATGTCACCACGGAAACAAGGCTACCAGCTTTGCTTCGGACTGGACTTGGTCAGGTGCTTCAACAAGAGTACTTGGTCAGCCGTTGTACTCTTATACTTGGCGCGCACTACATTATCCATCATACCAGAGTCCCCAGCCCGGTGCGTAGCTTTTGCCCTAGCTCATCATAGACGTCGAGACAGCGATAGGCGGAGTCTGCGCAGCTGCTGTTAGACAAGCAAAAAGTTTGCAGTCACTCACCAGATTTCAAGCCTAGTCTGAACCCAAGCTGGCCGAAGGCGGCTGCAAAATGTGAAGGTGACGTTGCGGGTGCTAGAAATCCTTACATGGATGAGAGTGACTGGGAATATCAAACAGACGACAAGCTGCTTGCTTAGGCTTTGCGAAATTCGAGCCCAATGCTTGGGCGTGACCCGGGCTCGGGCTCGGCTCAGCTCGAGCAGCCAATTGCATGGCTTAGCAGGGGTCTTCATCGTAAAATCAGCCCATGGGTATATTGACATCCACAACATCATGCCCCTGCAACTAACACTACAAGTGACCAGGTGCAAGAGGCGTTCGGCCACAACCATTGTGGGCTCGTTTCGTGCCTTTTCTTTGTTGGGTCTTCCCTACACCCATTGATGCTGCAACATACGGATACTGATATGTTTTTTTCTCCGTGTATTTCTACTTTGCTAATAATATTTTCTCGCTACGAGATTCGCATTCATGGGGGATTTTCCATTCCGTCTCGATGGTGAATTGGGCGTGGGGATTTGTGTATATATTTGCTTGTCTGGGTTCAGAACTAGGTGCCGTCGCCGGCGATGACCTTGCTTTCGTTTGTAATTGGAAAGACGAAGGGAACGAGCGCAGTTGAAACGGTATTTTGGAAGGACAGAGACTGGTCACAAATTACAATCGTAGCAAATGTTACGAACAGAGAATGCGGAAAATGCCGTTGTTTGTAATTGTGGACGAGTCGCAGAATTAACGGGTTGGCATATGACCTTGCAAGTAAGCTGTGACTTGCCATTTATATCTACAAAACTTACCGAGAGTCCTTCTTTGATATTTTGTGGGTGCCAGTAACAAACATCTTTCCTTGATCAACCCACGATCATAATGGACTTTGAATACATACCGAGTCACGATGCAGCTCCAGGGGTCTCTGGACGCCTACACTTATAACAAGCGGTCCCAGGTCCTAGTGCGCCTTACCAATGTCCGTCATCAAAAAGCTACAAGAAACCTCGGCTTCAGGTTCCATTACGACGTTGTTTCGTTTGGGCTCCGTAGCCGCTATTTCTGCCGTTCCAAAGAGGCCTCCTTTTCACTCTCCTCAGGTTACGGGCTTTGGCTGGTGCCTCACTATCCGTAAAAAGGGAAAGAGGATTCAGCTATGCTTCAATTCCCATAGTTGTCCGGATGTATGGTGTGGCACACTGGCCAAGGTCACGATCTCTTTTCCATCATATCCTGATGTTGATATGTCCCTTACCGCATCTATCGCTGTGATCCTCGGATTTAGTGGTTTTGACGCAAATGATAATCATCCGCTGATCACTTGTCCCGCTGAGAAGCTTGGAAATGTCATTGTCTCGCTGGAGGTCACCTTGACCAAAACACTGACATGCATGCCATTCACTGTACCTGCACGCGTCAGGCCCGTACCGGGTGCACCTACCAGTGCTGAAGCGCCTAGAGCGTCTCAGACCTGCTCTGCCCTTCGTGTCCTCGAGCAATCGCTCAAGACGGGAACTTCGTTTGACATAGTATTCCAAGCATACACTCGTCGTTTGTCTCTCGGCAAAGTCGCCAGACCAATTCCGATCTATGCGAGTACCGCTGTGCTGCAAACAACTTTACCAGACTTTTGTGCGTTATATTCCTATCCTTATCATGGCATGGCTGCTGAGTACCGTTGGCAGCCGGAGGAAACCTTGATTCGTTCTCCCTCTTTGAACTGTCTGAAGGCGACACTCTCCCTTTCACTTCGCTGGAGAGTTATGAACACGATTCTGACAGTGACCTAGATGACGATGATTTCGTCATGAATAACAACAATCTTTCACCAGTCAACAATAAATCAAACGAAGGTTTGTTTGTTCCAGCGTTGAAGCTTTGATCTCACAGCCCATCGATTACCACTTCACAGACACGGCTGATACTGGTTCAATGTCGTCTTTGTCTAGCATCGAAGGTACTGAAACTCGAAACTTCATACGTATGTCAATCTTACAGTTGTATTTCAAGAGCGACTGGACAACTGGCCATCACTTGTTGGAGATGTTGGGATAGCGCCAGTTGTGATCGGCGAGAACCTAAAGCGTGGATCTCGAGTTATTCTCGTAAAGGGTGTTGCCTGGAAGACGTAGGTATGATTTTTTTCGTGTTACAAGCGTCATTGAATGGATTTTGCAGGTGGCACGCCTTTATTTATTACTGTTACACTGGCATCGTCAACTTTGTAAACTTGCGGTCTCAAAGTACACCTGACGAACAGAGTCGCTTAGAAGATGGTCGACCACATTGCTCCCCGAAGTCTATGTATCAATTGGCTAGGAAGGTAACTCCATGAAACTTGTGTTAATGTATCTATCTGAGCTCAAAATTACAGCTTAACAATGAAACATTATCTCGACTTGCTTTAAAGGCCATTGAAACCAAGCTGTCCGCGGCCAACATACTGGATGAAGCATTCTCCAAATTTACTTCCAGGTATCGATGATCTCGTTCTACATCTGCGTGTTGCTTACTGCCACTCCTCAAAGGCATGATGCTGTCAGAGTAATGGAAATTTCCCTCCTGCTGAAATATAGGAATGCGTCGGAAGTTGTGCAAGGTCTCCCAGCTAAAATGGAAGCTGTGGCCAGGGGTAACATGCCCAACGCTGGACAGGTTCTCACTGCGTTAATTATGCAGGTGCCTGGCCAGAATTGAACCCGGTGTCGTCCGTTGTTTGGGTCTGTTCATTGCGTGGACTTTACATTGTATTACCAACTTGTAGCATTGACCATTGTTGATGCGACCCGCTTAACGCGTATCATCGAGCTCGTGTCAAAATTGGAATCCTGCTCACTGTTAGCGGTCTAGAGTTACGGGATCCCCATATTGCCAGTCAAATCCTAAATATGGAGGCGTCACACACTGCACTGCCTTGTAGATAAGAGACTGTCAGAGAGGCGCCCAAGCATACTCTCGTTGTCTTCATCCGCCATGCAGAAGGTATCTGATTCAGTTACATCAATCTTCCAGTTGGAAACTAAGGAAGAACGCCTTGCCAAATGCCTACAAGGGGGTTCAACCATAGTTTACAGCGAAAAGTTTGGGTTGGGGTGGCGTTTTGGGCTGCAGCACTCACAAGAACGCTGGTCTTTTGCCAAAGTGAAGATTTACCTCGATCATACCCATTGTTCGCCGTCGGCGACAGACGCCGCCACGGTGACTGTCTGCCTTAAAGATGGGTCTACTCCAGAGGTTCCTTCTTTTGACAGCAGAACGGTCTCGATTACTGACTTTGGCCATGGTCCCCCCGCGCTAATTGGCTCGTTCTCGCCGTCCGTTATTGCTGCACACCCTTACATGTGGTTTACGGTCGCTCCGAAAGCAAACTTTGCTCCAGTTATCGCTGACCCCCTCATCAATACCGCATCTGCTCTCAGGCAGTCCATGAGCAACGGCGAATTCACCGACACCAAGTACTATGCCATGTCCAAGCGTGCAACTTGGAAGTCTTCAGGAGAAACTCGTGCCGTATATGCGAATGGTGCAATTTTAGACCACGGCGCCGATGTTGCGCCAGGTCTCCCTTGTGGGTGATCTCTTATCTTACCTGGTGGACGAACATTAGTAATGAACCTATCCTCTAGCATCTATCAAAAAAAATTCTTTACTCGTTCACTACGACAACGAAAATGGGCTGATGATGGACGCCACTGAACGATATGATTATTACCTCGACAGCGACATCGACTCGGAGGAAGAAGAAGACGTGAAAGTCAAAACCGTGACGAGGGAGAAAGCAAAGGGAAAAGCACAAGGAGTGCCTAGCCAGCCCCCTCCTTATCGTTATAGCCAGAGCTATATTGCTGGCCCGGCATATTACGAGCATGAGTTGGATGAATTTAGTGATACATTCAGTGATACCACTTCCGATAGCAGTGCTTTAAGTTCGGATGATGATAGTGAGTCTGTCTGCTTCTCCCTGCGCCTGGGGTGATCTCTCGTGCTGAGTCTACTACTTAGATGACAGGTGGGCGGAATGGGCGGCTACGCGGCCTCCAGGTTTCCGCTCGACGGACACACTGAAGGCTGAGCGGCTGCCTCAACCCTTTTCTCCGACACAGCGAATAGTGTTGGTTCGGAACACGGCATTCACAACGTGAGCTACGCTTTCTGACTAGCTCAAAATGACTCAAACTGTTCGTGCAGCTGGGCATCCTACGTATACTATTGTTACACTGGCCAAATTTCTTTCCACCCTCTGAAGTCCAAAGATCCGCTCAGCCGGCGCAACAACACAACTCAAACTTTACGTTGTTCTCCCAAGTCGATGTACCGACTCGCCTCCAAGGTTTGTGTGTCTCGCGTCTTATGTGGCACACCGATTAACAAGAATCCCGAAGCTCAAGAATGCACGTTTGGAAGCTCTGGCGTACCAGGCAATTAAATCTGATTTATCCTCGAAAAATATCTTGGATGAGGCGTTCTCATGGTTTACAGCCCAGTACACCTTTCTTGTTCTACACCATGATCATCGCTGACCCTCGATCATCACAGGCACATTGATATCCAAAAAATGGAACTAAGACTCCTGTTAGAGTTCCGCAACACACCCGAAGTATCAAGTCGTCTGGATCAGATCCTTGAAAGTGTTTCCCGAGGAGAAAGGCCTTATGCACATGTTATGCTTCGTGGCTTTTTAATGTGTTTGACACGGCGGGGGACAGGTGGTACGAAGTGAAGTCGCAGCAGTTATTTTGTCAGTTGTACTTGTAAGTCATGTTGTCCCAATGTTGTCCTTGTGTTGTTATCTTGTCTTCCACCTCATCGTACGTCACGGTGTTGTATCATTACTTGTAACTTGCCATCATGTGTGTACAAGGTTTACCGACTGTCAATCTACTGTAAAATTCACTACTGCAAAGTTACGGCTTAACGAAAGTTTGAAAAACAAACTGGTTATTCGAGATGAGGAAGTACATAGTAGTACACTGTATTATCGCACCGATATTAGCTTGAACCCGATGGCGTCCGTTGTTTGGGTCTGTTCATTGCGTCGACTTTGCATTGTATTACCAATTTGTAGGATTGACTGTTGTTGATGCGACCTGCTTAACGCGAGCTCGTGTCAAAATTGGAAACCTGCTCACTGTTAGCGATCTAGAGTTACGGGATTCAGTTAACTCCTAAATATAGAAGCGTCCATCACACTGCACTGCCTTGCAGATAAGAGACTAGTCAGAAAGGCGCCTAAGCATCCTCTCGTTGTCTTCATCCACCATGCAGAAGGTATCTGATTCAGTTACATCAATCTTCCAGTTGGAAACTAAGGAAGAACGCCTTGCCAAATGCCTACAAGGGGGTTCAACCATAGTTTACAGCGAAAAGTTTGGATTGGGGTGGCGTTTTGGGCTGCAGTATTCTCAAGAACGCTCATCAGAGAACTGGTGAACAAATGAGAATGACATATATAGCGATATATAGTCCATAATCACAAGCATCGGCATAATTTTGTTATCGACCATCACATTATAATATTTGGCCTTATACCGGAAAGACGTGTTTCTAATGTTCCTACACCAGTTCGTGATCGGGAAATGATTCTCATATCACTGAAGCTCAGACTTCAAAGGCAAGTGGAGCAAACGCTGACGAACAAGCCAAATGGATTTCAACTGCCATGTTGGAAATACGGACCACAATGGCGAAACTAAACATGAACGTGAGCACCGTCCTAAAAACAACCACGTGTTAACCGATCAGCGACAATGCATGAATTTTCTGTAAATATAACGGTCAAGCCGGGCGACTCATAACCGTCGTGTTGGAAGTGATTTCCGTAACTTGAAAGCTAAGCGGGAAGGCCAACACCTTCCAAAGAACAACAATGCGTTCAACGAGCGAGCGACCACACCATCAGTTTGAAATGCTTGATGTTCGTCGATCATGGGACAACTGACGAGGTAACACTAATGGTAAGCATCTTCCAGAGAGTGAAAATGTGTTGATCACGCGAGCAACGAGTAACTCATTTTCTCCTCGGCCAAAGAACAACAATGCGTTCAACGAGCGAGTGACCACACTATCCGTTTGAAATGCTTGATGTTCATCAATCATGGGACAACTAACGACGTATCACTGATGGCAAGCACTTTCCAGAGAGTGACGATGTTTTCGTCATGCGAGCAACGATTGATTCATATTCTCCTTGATATTTTGATGCCCCCGTCCTCAGCATCAAATTTTGGTCAGTCTTTTTTTGGATTATCTAATGACCATCTGCTTTACATTGGCTGGGAATTCGTGGGAAGAAGC